AATACTATACTACTACTACTACTACTACTACTATGCTACTACTACTACTACGAATACTATACTACTACTACTAGTACTACTATACTACTACTATACTACTACTACTACTACTACTATACTACTACTATACTACTACTACTACTATACTACTACTATACTACTACTACTAATACTATACTACTACTATACTACTACTATACTACTACTACTACTACTAATACTAATACTATACTACTACTATATATTATATATTACTACTAATACTATACTACTACTATATATTATACTACTACTAATACTATACTACTACTATATATTATACTACTACTAATGCTATACTACTACTATATATTATACTACTACTAATACTATACTACTACTATATATTACTAGTAATTAATATAAAACTAATATAATATAAATATAATATATATATAAAACTTTGCAATATAAAATTATTTATGACGAAATCGTTCTCGTAGCTTCGGGTCTAAAAATCTCGATGCCCGAGAGAGACTTTCGGAACAAATCCCGGATGGTATTTCGCGACGGTATCTTGAAACGGGCCCACGTGTCCGCGACCGCGGCCGGCCACAAAGCGATTTATGCGCAAGAAATCCCGGTATCGCGGATGTTATTCGACGAGACGCCGGCGGAACGCTGTGGCTATTGTAGCTTTGCTTCGCGGAGCGTGTCGAGTGTAACACGCCGCCGCCGGGATCCGTAGAACCGCTTCAATTAAGTTCAACGAAGCCGAAAAAAGCAGACGCAAGCTGGCCCCGTCCCGCCTCGGCCCGCGCCTGTACACCGAATACTCCCTGCCACGTTTCGCCCGACCCAATTAAATTTCTTTCTGCCTGCTGTTCCGCTGCTTCTTTTCATCTAGATTCGGGAAATCATGCTCTTTAACCGCGGCGTCAGCGTAAACCCGGCCGGCCAACGATTATATCTCGTACGCGCGCGCGCGAGCGCGGGATATAATTGCATTCCGGCCGGCTGTGCGCGATCCTTCGCAAAAAAATACGCCACGTCGATCTAATTCCTCCTCGGGAAACACGTAATTGGAAAACTCGATGCTTCCGCGCGAGCACGATAGTAATAAATCCTGTTAAACTGTACTAATTCTATTGAACCGTGCGAAATATACAGCAATGACTCGGAAATGTCTGATAATTAGATTTCAGATCGAGATCACGGATGAAATATAAAACTGCGAATGCGTCAGATATATATGAACGGTTTAGAAGCGAATCGGTGCAAGTCCACCTTGCATTCAGAATTAATTACGCGGAGCAAGCGCGTGTTAGGATCTTTCGATCGATAGATCAATATAGTCGAAGTGGTAGCAGCATTTATATATGCCATGGAATGACTAAACAAATCTATTCGGTGGAAATTGATACTTTCTAAAAAAAAAAAAACATTGTGGTTTCATTTCTGTGTCATCTTATAATAAAATTTATGCTCTGCATTATTAGCGGCACTGTTACTTTTTTACAAATTTGGAAAATCCTCGTTTATCGCAATTTTGAGATCAATGGATTTACACTGATCGGCTCTCGATAATGTCCATATAATGATCACAATGTCACTATCTCGTCCTGAATTTATCGAAATTATTCAGATAAAAAAGTCGCTACTAAAAATCGATCAACGTACAACTTAACCCTTCGCCGTATTCAGATGAGACTGTCACGTGACGGAGATGTCTAGTAAGAATTTATTAAACATACAACTTAATAACTCTATAATAATTATTAACAGTTATTAAATATAATTAACTGTGTAACGCTCTACGTAATTTATTAAGTATAAATGTCATCCCGTTCTTCGAATTCGGAATATAAAATTCTGTTCTCCTGTCACCAATACACAAGCCTCCAAATAAACGTAGGAGCACAATAAATATAAATTTTGCTTCTTACAAACAATTACTTGCAATCGCGAAGAACATACCACGTGTCTCTTAACCGTTGCACACGTCATTAGACTCGAGCCTCCGTTAACGCGGAACCGTATCACATTACCGCGACGTCACCGTATATTATGCCATAGATCTTTTAAGGTGGACAGTCGCCAGCGATAAAGTATCGAACGATAAATTAGTTCGATCTCGCGGCGGTCGCGTCGGCGGGACAGACAAAGCGTCGGCAACGACAATGGGGCCATTCAACGGGCGTTCGTTTCTGTTTCCAGCTTTCAGAGGACATCGGCTACGTCCTTTATTCAGCGCTGGGCAGCTTCTACATCCCGTCGTGCATCATGGTGTTCGTGTACATACGTATATACTTCGCGGCGAAGGCACGGGCGCGCCGCGGCATCCGGAAGCAGCCGCGTCGCCGGCCGCCGATGCAGCCGGAATCGCCGGACGTCAGGCAGACCAGCTTCACGCAGACCACGCCGGCCACCGAGACGAAGAAACCCCCGTGTTCCGTCATGGAGAACGTGGCCACCATCGAGAACCAGCCGGTTCAGATACCGATCGTCACCTGCGACTGCGCCAGCGACGTCAGCACCTCCGAGGCCGATCCTGGCGGAGGGAACAGCATACCCATGGAGGAGAAGGACACCTTGAAGGTTCGTCACGTGTCTTCTATTGTTAACACTTTATCGTCCGGTCGTGGTTGAGGCTGCCACTCAGTAAGGACTGGCTTAGTCGCGCGCGCATTTGCTCCCAGTACCGGCTAAATTTTCGCTATTCATTGTGTTGTGCTTATTCCTTTAAAAATAATAATAAAAAATAATATAATTATTATAATTATAATTCATAAGGATATGGGGAGGTCAGCATACAGGAGGTCAGCTACTAACAAAACAGTAAAGAAGCGAAAACCGTCGATAGCTAAAAGTCGATTAATAGGCTATCGGTCGATAAGCATTGGCAATCGAAAAGCCGATTAATAGGCTAGCGATCGATAAACATTGGCAATCGAAAAGCCGATAAATAGGCTAGCGGTCGATAAAGTGTTAAAACACTTAAACGATCGATTTATCGCGTTTCTATGCTGAGTCAAATAATCGACGAACAATTCCAAACAATCGGAAAATGAAGATGTTTGGATAAAGGACGGAACCATAAATCTATTGGGTTGGCAACTAAGTAATTGCCGATTTGTTCAATGAAATAAAACATGTTTTTTTACTTGGAACGAAGTTTAATCTGTAATGTATTTTCCATTTTGTTCGATGACCTTTTGCCATCTCTCTGACAACTTGAAAATTCCACGCTCGTAGAAAGTCTGATCGTTTTCGGCCAAAAACTGAGTTAAGTGAGATTTTACAGCGTCGTCGTCGTTAAAAGTTTTACCACAGGGAGTTGTCCAGGGATCGAAATAAGTGGTAATCCGATGGCGCGAGATCAGGGTTATATGGTGGGTGTAACATCAATTCCCAACCAATATCCATCAATTTTTGCCGAGTGGACAAAGACGTGTGCGGCCTAGCATTGTCCTGGTGGAAAATGACACCTTTACGATTGACCAATTCTGGTCGCTTTTCCTTGACCGCTGCATTCAATTT